GGCCAGCAGCACGGACCGTCGGCGCAAGGTTACCGCCGAGGCCGCCGTTATGTGAGGGGCGGGGCGGGGCGCGCAGCGGTGAGCCGCTTGTCCGTCAGCAGCAGCACCGCCAGGGGAGGGGCGGCCGGGGGTGGGTATAGAGTACTCACATTCCGGATGTCCTCGGTGGTGCCGCCTCCGCTGCCTCCGCTGCCGCCGCCGCCGCCCCGCCGCTGGACCCGCTGGACCCGCTGGTGACGGTATGGCGTCCTGCCACCTCGACGGCCACCACCCCAATGGAGCCGCAGCCTCCAGCGGAGCCCGGGCCGGGCCGTGCGCCCACCCCAACCCCTCCCCGGGCCGCCTTCCGCCGGGCCACCGCCGGGCCCAGCGCGCATGTGCAAGCCGGCACCCTCCCCCTGGGCGCCGGCTCTGGACGCCGGGATTGGCGGCCCGACCGCTGGTGGGGGGCGCGCCGAGCGCCTGGCGCCGCCCCGCGTTAGGCCCCTCGGCCGATTCGCCAGACGGGGCGGCGCCAAGCGAGGAGCTTTGCTCTCGTCTGTAGATGTCTTTCTCCATTTCTCTTCCGCTTTCCCAGTTTGCTTTCCCTTTCCCTCTCGTTTTAGATAAATAAAACAAACGTACCTCTTTTTAAAGGGTTGTGTTGCGCGCTCCCCTTCTTTCTACCGCTCCATCAATTATTTTTCGTCGGCGTTCTTTGGATTTCATTCAATGGTGTGCCCGATTTAACAATTAACACGCCTATTTCCGGGCACCAAAGTTGCTGTTTTCTACCGGGGTCGAAAACAGCTTGGAGAGGTACTGAAGTGTGACGGTAGGCAACGCGAGCATAGGCCCGTGTGGCGGGTTGCCTATGGCCCCCACGGTGGGCGCACACTCGACAGAAGGGCAATGCCGACACCTCATGTACAGTAGCTTTATTGAACATTTCCATTTATTTCAGTTTGTATCAAAACTGGGGTACGATAATTACGCGCTAGACGATATTGTTGCTAAGATTATGCAACGTTTACAACTCATTACAATACAATAGCTTATTAAGTAAGGTTCATCAGCAGCAGACATTCATGGATCGATTCTGTGGACGCGCTTTCGGACACCAAGACACGGTTGTAAGACTCGACTCAGTTCGTTTTGTTGATCTTTTGGGCATGACATACTGCGTGAACTTTCGGTTGTTGTTTTTCTTTTTGTAAATTAGGGCTAATAATTGAAACAAGATTTACAAAAGGGAGCAGACGTTGCGCTGGGTTCTCAGCGAGGGATGCAGTTACAATATCCCGCAATAGAGGCCTGAGAAGCACACTCATTGGACAAGTCGGTGTATATATGTAAGCAACATATACAATAACATACACGTGTTTTCAATTACCAACCGAAACCATAAAAAAAATCTACTTCATCACATTTAAAATTATTTTAAAACTTACTGGCAGTGAACATATTCCACATATTCTTAAAACTATAGTCATAGAGTTAAGGAAAACCACAGTTATATTTAGAATTTGCAATATGGGAAATGTTGGACAAACCGGGACAAACCAACCCGCGCATAGTCGCATAGGTGACTTCAAAGTGAACCGAGTGTATCTTTGAATGCGCCCCAAGTGGGATTGCTTGATTGCATTCTAGCTAGAGTCTCAGGGGTCATGGCGCCTTACGGACGGGCGAAGGGAGCAGGCCAACCCAGAACACTGGGACGCCTTCAAAGATACTCCCGGTAAGTACTTTAAACTAAATATGTACAACGGTGAAATGTTATAAGGCTCTCTCTATTTTCGTTGATTACTTTCGGGTCCGAAATATTAATAGATATTTATACGATAAATAATGAACCAGAATCCTCTGTTCCGGTGACAAGTTAACTGTGAATCAGTCGTCGAAAGCACCATTCAGTTGAAGGACAAGCGGAGCTAAATATAGAGCTATCGAAGGCCTTACTCCTGAATCGCTCGGGTTGTTCTGGGCGAGTGCGCCCTGACACCACGGTGCACCTCGGTCAGCGCACTAGAGTCTTAGATGTGCCCCATTGAATGGGAGCTCCATGCCGAGGCAGCTCGAGGCTCTCAGCAGGAAATGGCCCAGGACTCCTGGGGGGAGACGTCACCCTCGCCGTCGGCGGCCCCGACACCGGGGCTGCGCAGGGGAGGTGGGCTGCCCCCAGGCTGGGCCTGCACTTATCAGAACTGTCTCGGAGGATGCGGCAGGGTGTGCGTGTGTCCAGGAGCGTGGCCGGGGTGGAGGCGGCTGGCGGCGCACCGGGACCGGTTGTCCAGGGTGCTGAAGGCGGCGGGCGCGGGCGCCCCTGGCATGGCGGGCAGCGCGCCCGCTCCCGGCGCCGCCGCCGTGGCACCCGCACCTGGCTTGCGACGCGCGACCGTCATGGTGCCGTCCATGGGGACGCCTGGCGCGCCGTACGACGGGAACGTGTCCAGAGGGGTGGCGTCCTCCACGGCGCCGCACGGGATGGTCCTGGAAGAGGGGCGGAGTCGTTAAGTGCACGTCACGTGCATACAGGTGGTGACCGTCGTAGGGGGTCCGCGACGCTCGACGGACGAGCGCCAGGGCCGGCTCTCTCCCCGCCCCTTCTCCCTCCCCGCCGGCCGGGCACTCCGCTGCGCGCCCTGCTTGTTTGTTTATTTTGTTTGTTTCGGTCGCCTAATCGCGTTTCCCTTCCTGTTGTCCTTTCTCGCAAATCCACTGCTGGTGATGCTCGAAGCTCACAGCGAGAGGGTGTCGGACGATCGAAAAACAAACCGTGTGGACTGCTCCCATCCCCAGTCGTGTGCGTGTGTACCGGGATGTTGACCCCCGTGCTCGTGTCGCACGTGTAGGGTTTTCCTCTAGATCTGTCCGTTCAGGTCGGATTGCAATACGTCCTGCTTTCTCGTCGCCTGGAAGATGTTGGACAAAGAGCCTAGAGATAGCCTCTGGAAGTGGCTCAGACTGGGGGTGTTGCCCGGTGTTGCCGGTGGGGCTCGCTACGCAGGCTAATGCTTATGCCTCGGCCTCCACACGCAACCCCCAACCGTGCACCGGCATAATACTAATATGAACCGCGCACGCTCGCTGGACCACTCCCCCTCATCCCCCTCCTGCTGCTCCCTCCCCCGCCGCCCCCACCCCCCGCTCAGTCCCGTGGGAACGCGAGGGCTGCCCCGCGGGGGATGCCCGGCCCCGGCCGGCCCCGGCCTGGCTGGCGGATCCTGCCGGCGTGAATAACAACAAAAAGCACAAGTGCAAAAGCGCCCCTCCTCCGGTTATGGAAAACGCGCCATGCGTGGAAAATATGAAATGCATACACTGTTAAATACCAAGTGTCTGGAAAATACGACCCCTCTTGGGCAGATTTCTGATTTTTTCGGAGGGTGTACACCGATTTTTAGACAGTCTCTACCGGATGGTAGGGAAACCTGTTCCTCTCCCTCTTTCCTTGTTCTTTCTCGCCGGGCGGGAGCTCGGGTGTGACGCTGACGCCTGGTCTTAGCCCTGTGGGCTACCCATTCATTTACCCCACTAGTGACCACATGGAGCCGACAAAGATGTCCTAGACGGCATACTCGTTGTCTCCTCACTTCTCCTCTTACCTGTGGTGTCCGGGCGGGCGCGGCCGCATGACGGTGATGGGCACGGAGACGCCCGCGAGCGACGCGCTGTCCGGCGGGGGTGGCAGCCCGGTGGGCAGCCCGGGCTGCGGAGCGCCGCTGTTGGAGGCCGTCAGGGACATGGGCTGGCCCAGGGACACGCTCCGGCCGCCGGCGCCGCCCGTCTCGAACGGCGACGCGGCTCGCATCTGCGGGAGCAGAGGCTCGGATCAAAACACTGTCTCTGCGGCTCCAGGGTCGTACTGTAGGTACTCCAGGCCTCGCTCCAGACGCCCACCTGATGGTCCTGGCCGTCGTTGCCGTCCTCCGCCTGCAGCTGCTGCTGGAGCTGCTGCTGCAGCGAGTCGGCCGAGCTCTCGGGGTTGCTGGAGCAGATGTCCGGCTTGGCCTTGGCGGCGTGGTGCAGGCCGCGCTCGCCGCCCCCGATCTGAGTCGAGTCGGAGGTCAGCTTGCCGTAGCAGCCCATGGCCCCGGGGAGGTTGATGCAGCCGAGCTGCCGCATGGCGCGGCCTGTCAGAAATGAGCAAGGGACGGCATTATTTTCTCCGTTGGTGCAAAAAAAAACCTTTCCGCCGTTCATTTCAGGAAATTTAGTTGCGGCTCTGCGACCAGGACGGGCTGGATTTGGATACTGTGCCGCATGTAAGCGTGCGGGCGGGTTGCCTACTCGTGCTGGACCTTGACCGTGAGGTGGTGCCGCCCGCGTGGTCTGGTCAGCGACCGGCAAGTTTACCCGAACGCCTACATACGGCACGGCACAGCATGCGTACAAAAGCGTTCATCTCCAGCTTGTGATGTCATCGATAATTCCTCTGTCTAACAAGGGAACCCCACCAAGTGTAAATTCCCGATTTTCATTCTACTTTGGGAAATTGTTGGTCTAAATATGTCATCGAAGGGCACATCAAAGATTTTTGCTTAAATTCATATTTAGGGGTCATTTTGGGTATTTGTTCAAAAAGCTGCTATTTCAAATATTTTTTATAACTTTCAAGAATGCTTCCTAAGGGGTACCTCGTCAAATTGCGGCCCTTTGGGCGAAAATTTCGTCCGTTTTGCTCTATCTGAAGCCGTTTAGGCGCTACCACCACATTTAGGAGGAGAAATGTACGGGAATCACTAGGGCTTAAGAGCAGTGGTTGTAAAAAGCAGTCCCACAAAAAATGTTATAAAACAAAAAATGTAGAAAAATGTAAGCCCTTGAACTTTTGTTTTATAACATTTTTTGTGGGACTGCTTTTTACAACCGCTGCTCTTAAGCCCTAGTGATTCCCGTACATTTCCCCTCCTAAACGTGG